CCCTCCAACGTCGCTCTAGGCGTCTCTTGACGCTTCATCTCCCGGAGTTCCTCGGTAAACCAAGGAGCCCTCCTGGATCCACTGCCGCGGAGAGGCTGCAAAGGCGCAATCCGGTCCAGTGCCTCAGCCGCCACTGTATTCCAAGCCGCGACCAAGGACTCTGCTGAGGTGTGTGCAAGGGAATCAGGTATCTCTCCAAGTGCCGTCTGAAATCCCTGAGGGTCCATCAGGCGCCTGGGGCGGAACCACTTAATCGGCTCCCCCTCCCTGCAGTGGGGGAGCAGTTTCTGAAAATCCAGCCTCAATAGGAAGTGATCTGACCATGACAAGGGCAAGATCTCAATGCCCTTCAGTTCCAGATCATGTCTCCAGTGTCCCGAGAGAAACACTAGGTTGAGCATGTGACCCGCTGTATGAGTCGGACCAGTGGTGGGTTTCAAAAATTTTTGGAACCTCTTCTGTAGGTGTGGCCTGCTTTCCGGGTCCACTGGTGGAACCTCTTCTAACCGGTTTGGTAGATTTGATGAACCGGCTCTACCGAATAGGTGCGAACTGGTAGGAACCCACCTCTGAGTCGGACCCTGAATTACCTGGGTCAAGTCCATGGTTGTCATGGAAGCCATGAACTCCTGCGCTCCATCCGAGCGTTTGCCGAGAGATGGCAGGTTGAAGTCCCCCAGTACTATCAGTCTGTAGGGAACTCAACCACCAGTCCGGCTACTGTCTCAAGGAGCACAGGCAGGGCTGTTGTAACGCAGCTGGGAGGAAGGTACGTTAGAAACAAGCCCACTTGACCCCCTAGGTCCAACTTCACCAGAAGGGACTCACACCCGACAATCTCCAGAGCAGGGATCCCACGAGGAGCTAATGACTCTCGGATGATGACTGCCACTCCCCCACCCCTTCTCTGGCGTTGGTGGTTGGTGGAGCACCTGAAACCCTTCTGGGCGCATATCTGAGATGGGGACTCCTCCCCCCTCGTCTAATATTAAGTCCCGGACGAGGGGAGCTTTATGAATCACAGACCTGGCATTTAGCAACAGCAACTGACATCTCTTGCCACCTGGTTCTTGAGTTGAGCTATCAGGGCCGGAAGGAGGGATCGCTGTAATGTAGCGAACCCTCCTTCCCCGGTAATGGCTAGCCCTGTAACTCCCGTCATACCTGCCTCTCCCCAAACGTAACCGGGATGCTCCGGCCCATCCCTGTCACTGTAGACCCCTTCTCCCATCCCGTGGCCCCCGTTCTCCCTGGCAGGCCATTTATGACACTCACTCTGGGACAAGAGGCGGATCCGGGCCCCCATCCACTTCTTCTTCTGCACTCAGAGGAGGGGGCTCCAGGCCGCACTCTCAATCCCCCCACACATACCAGCCAGACATTCTCCACATGCATACCCCACTAATATTAAAATACAACGATACAATAAAATACTAATAAAATCCGTTAAATTAAAAGAGTGGGATCATTCAATCAGACACATACATACCACATACACTCCCCATACAAGAAAAAAAAGTTGTGCCGCCATTTCCCTCATTTTCGCCGAGCGTCGTGGAGATTATTCCAGGCGGCTGCGTGTGCCAGAGGCCGTCCGACAGTAGCGACCCTCCAGGATACCACTTCTCATCCCAATTGTTGGGACCCCTTCTCGCATGGCTCCGAGCAGAATTGCCGTTTTTTTTCTGGCGTTTTTCTATTCCACCAGACGGAGCAGAGAAAGCCGGTGGCCATCACACCTCGCACATGCGCAAATTGTAGAATGCCTTCTTCTCTCGGCCAATTGGACATAATTAAGGGACCTTCTAATCCCTTGCTCAAGCAGGAAAAACATTTTGGACAAATGGCTGTCCAGTCTCTTCTTAAAAACTTCCACTGTTGGAGCATTCACAACTTCTGGTGGCAAGTCGTTCCACTGGTTCATTGTCCTCACTGTGAGGAAATCCCTCCTTAATTCCAGGTTGATGGAATTCCAGGTCTCTCCGTTGATTCTTATCTGGCCTTCGGGTGCTTTGGAGAATAGGTTGACCCCCCCAGCTCTTCCTTGGGGCAGCCCCTTGAGTATTGGAAGATGCTATCATGTCCCCCCTCCCCAATCCTTCTTTTCATTAAATCAAAGATACCCAATTCCTGCAACAGTTCTTTGTCTATTCTAGCCTCATCGTTGTGGCTCTTCTCTTCACTATTTCTAGAGCCTCAATATCTTTTTTTTCTCATCGTGGTGACTGAATGGTCGCAGAATTAAACCCTAATTTATGAATTGTCCCAGAATAAAATGCTCCTCCGTTTTGCCACATTATTAAAGCTTGTCTCGGATCTCCTCTGTCCCCCCACGCCCAGCCAGCACGAGGCTCGCAAAGTTCCACATGGTGATTGGACAGAACAGAACAACAGAGTTAGAAGGGGCCTTGGAGGTCATCTAGTCCAACCCCCTGCCCAAGCAGGAAACCCTACACCGTTTCTGACCGATGGCAGTCCAGTCTCTTCTTGAAAGCCTCCAGGGATGAAGCTCCCACAACTTCTGAATAACAATAACAGAATAACAGGGTTGGAAGGGACCTTGTAGGTCATCTAGTCCAACCCCTCACCCAAGCAGGAGGCCCTACTCCATTTCTGAC